GCCTGTGGGGAGGAGCTCCTCTAAATCAGCTCCTGCCACATAGAAGGGCAGAGGCTCAGGGACCTGCGCGGCCTGCGGAGGCTCCGGGGGGCAGTGGTCGGGGCCCCATGCAGCCTGGATTTGGGCAAAGCACCCGGTTCTGTGAGCCTCAGTTTTTCTATCTGTAAAGTGGGGTAACAGTCCCAACCTCTAAGGGCTAGGCTGAGACAAAGTGAGGTCATGCAGGTGAGGGGTTAGCACCATGCCAGACACAGGGAGTCCCAGATGGTACCCACAGGGCCTGCACCCCCCACCCAGACCCCAGGCAGGACCTGAAAGAGCAGAGCCAGCTGGCAGCCTGTACCCCCTGCTGGATGGGAAAGATGGGGACAAGAGGCCACCGTCCCCTCCCCCAACAGCTCTGTCTTCCATGTCCCCAGCCTTCTAGGGTCCCCACTTGGCTGCCTGGATCACCACCCTAAAGGCTCCAGCGCTTTCCAAACCACAAAACTGGTGCCTCTCCAGAGTCACTCATCAGTGCTGTTGGGCGTCCTGCTCAGAGAAGGGGACGCATGGGCCCTGTCCCACCCTGGGGCCAGGATCTAGAGCTAGCTGGGGCTCTCAGGCCAAGGACTGAGCCCAGGGTCCCAAGGGCTTCAGGACAGACTGAGGGGTGCAGGCTCACCTCCTTCAGGAGCTTGGCACACCTCCCTGCGGGACAGGCAGAGTGAGGTGCTGGCAGGCCAGCATCAGACCCCCCACAGGGCCCCCCGTCCAGCGTCCCCCACCAAGGCCCCTGGACTCACCCTGCCGGGCCACCAGGTAAAGGCCCGTGTCTGCTGTCAACTGCCGGAACCTCCAGAAGCCAGGCTCATCCTCGTCCTCAAGGCTCCGGGCTGTGGAGGCACAGTGGGGCTGGGCCGGAAGTCCCAGGGAGGGCAGCGGCAGGGCAGAGCCCCCACCCGGACCAAGCTTACTGAAATACTTGAACACGTGGAAGTCCCTGCCTTGCCAGAGCAGGGACACCTTCAGGATGGCATAGCGCTCATAGTCCGTGTCCAGCACGCGGATCTCCCTGTGGCCTTTGGGAGCCAGCAGAGGGGTTGGGGAAGACTTTCTGCAGACGCAGGTAGCCCCTGCACAGCGGACCTCGGGGCCTGGGGTCTGCAGGGTCTAACTCCGTCCTGTTGCTGCTCAGCACCCAGACCCTCCCATGATGCCTGGGTGGGGGGACACTAGAGCGGCCCTTGAAGGACGACCCAGCATGTTGGTTGGAGAATGAGAGTGTCTGGGCGTGAAGAGAGCAGGGAACACACGGGAACAGCAAGGCCAAGTGCTGTTGGGGGCGGGGACGCCGTGGAGCTGGTGCGCAGGGCAGGGCTGTAACTGCAGCGACGGGGCGGTGGTGCTTACCAGGGAAAGTGAATTTGCCTGCAACGTCTATTTCTGAGCCGACCATACTTTCTGTCTCGCAGCTTCCTGAGCTGGAAGCAGCAAATGGCCCATTAGGAAAATGCCAGCCGCGTTCCATCTGCGGAGCACGTCCCCAGGGCCACGTCTTCAGGAAGGGCTCTGGCAGCGTGCTAGAGCATCCTGGAGCCTGGAGCAAGACCAGGAGGGCGACCCTGCGGGGGCTGCGCTGGCCTCTCCCTTAGGGGCTTGGTCGCCTCCAGCGAGCCACCTGCCCCTGGGCCTGTTTTCCTTTCTTATAAATTCACGGGGCTGCATAGAAACTACGCTTATGTTTGGGAGAAAATGTAGAACCAGGAGCCTGGGGGTCTGGCTTTCTCTGGGAGGGCTGGTCCACAGAAGGGACAGCATGCAGGCCAAACCCCACAAGTGCAACCCCAGCCACTCGTGCCTTCCTTCCCACAGGCTGCCCTGGTCATGGCCCAGCAGGGTCCCTGAGCCTCTCACTTGTTATACGCGACCTTGACGGTCAGGTTGCTCCCGCTTGGCGTGAGGAACAAACCCTCCACCCTCTTGGGGGCCTTCAGCACCAGGTTTTGGTCAGAGGCCACACCGACTTCCCGCCAGAATCCTGCAATCTAGAGAAAAGAGCCAGAGCTGTCCCCAGCTCTGAGCAGGCAGACTAGGACACCTGTCCCTGGGCTCCGGGGGCATTGCATGGACCACTGCACAGGGAGCTGGTGGGCTCCGAGAGGCCGGCCGATGGCTGGAAGACTTGGTGGTGAAGCAACTTGTCCCCAGGAGCGTCATCCTTCCAGGGTTCCCTTCAGGCCATCAGATGGGGCGAGCCCCTCCCCACAGAGCTGCCATGGGCCGGATCCCAGTCCCCCAGAGGAACGGGCCTCTGTGGCTTCCTGGCAGGGCATGCAGGCAGCACAAGCAGGCCCTGACCATCCTTGGGGACAAGATGTGGGAGTGAGGGACAGGCATGGGAGAGAGGGACTGGAGAGCCAGTGCGGAATGTGACAGCACCAGGAAACACGGCTCATCCTGGCAGGGCATGCAGGCAGCACAAGCAGGCCCTGACCATCCTTGGGGACAAGATGTGGGGGGTGAGGGACAGGCATGGGAGAGAGGGACTGGAGAGCCAGTGCAGAATGTGACGGCACCAGGAAACACGGCTCGGGCTCAGGACCCATTGGCGGCTGGAGCCCTTGCCCCGCGGAAGGTGCATGATTCTGCCGACCGCACTGTAGGAGGGACCTCCTGCCTTCAGCATCCACCCAGAACCCAGGACTTCACCTGAAGTTTTTGGAAACTGATCCTTTTTTACAACATCTGTTATCTCTGAGCCTGCCCCACAGCCGACACAGACTCTGTGGAGAAAGATCGCCAGCAAAGAAGCATCTGGAAGGGAACCAGAGCCTCCAGCCGAGCTCTCCACATCAGGAAAGTCCTCTCTGGTTCCCAGAGTGTGGGGGCCAGGGGGTGTAGGAGGATCCCCACTGACCCAGGGAGCAGCAGAGGGCCACACTGCACCCCTGACCCTGGAAAACCCCGGAGAACCAGCTGGCCTGGCTGAGGACACAGGGCTGCCTGTGGGAGACCCTCAGGACGTCCTCAGACCCGGGGAGAGGAGAGGCCTGAGCTCAGGGACCCCTTAGCAGCCTGTCCTCCTGGGAGCTGAGCTGGGTGGGTGCTGGTGCCCCCGGGTAGCTGCTCTGGGGGTGGAGGGACAAGGATTGGGGACCTGCTGGACACTGTCTGGGCTCCTCCCTGCCTGCCCCCCTCCAAAGCCCTGGAGTTTGCCTTCAAGCTGAGAAGGAAAAGCCACCTTCTGTCGGTCTAGGTCCACCATGAACGTGTCCACCTGCACCCGAAGCACCCCGAGGATGCCCAGCATGGCACTCAGCAGCCTGGCCGCCATGGCAGGTCTGGGCTCACGGCACCTCTGCCCCTCAGCTCCTGGGTTTATATCTGCAGAGCGAGCGAGCAGGTGTGTGTGGTCACCCGGAGAATGTCATCAGGCAACTTGGCTGCAACAGCTCAGACTTCAGAGTCTCTGCACAAGTGACTTCCGGTCTCAGTGACACCCACACCCACGGGAGGGTCGGCCTGGACCTGAAAGCAGCCACACCAGCCATCTTCCTGGCATGTGGACAACAGGGGACACTGCAGTGGGCTTGTCTGGGGGCGTGAGAGCCGGAGGCCCCACCCATACCATCTGGGGCTCTGCTGACCCACCTGCTCATGGGACACTTGGTTTTTCGGGCTCTCTCTGGTTGGTCTGAGGACGAGGGAGCAAACACCGTACAGGCCTGGGGGGGCCTGTCCTGGCCTCTTTCTGCAGCCACTGAACACACAGTCTCGCCTCTTCCCAGTCTGTGCCCAGACCCCCCCGACAATGTATTTTACAGCACACCCCCCAGCCCCAGCCATGTGACTCGTGGGGCCTGGCACAAGAGGGGACACTGTGTCTTTGCTTGGGTCCCTTTTCCTTGGGGCCTGTGCCTTTTACAGTCACTGCAGATGACGGTAGGGGGAGGGGAGGGAGGCAGAGAGGGAGTCAGGCTTCTGGGCATAGCGTGCTTTACCACAGTTTCTCCGTCTGTAACGATGATGAATTTCAAGACATCGACAGCAGAGTATTGCACCCAAGACGGGGCCCTGTGGGACCTCGTGCCTGACACGTCCTGCCTGGCCCTCGCCTCCAGCCACACCCTGCACTCCAGGGACTGACACCTTCCGACCACGTCCAGCAACCCCTCGCCAGCCTCGTGATCCTTGAATTTACCAGGCGAGTGTCCCCCAGGCCACAGAGATGTTTAAGTCAGACAATTTTTATTTTCAAAAGCGACTTTATTGGTGACACATATTTTTCAAAAAAAAAAAAAAACTCTCACCATCTGTAAATGAGTTAAAAGAATAAACAAAATCCACCTTCTACTTCCCATTTCCACCTCCTCCTGTTCCCTCCAAATAAAAGGGAAAAAGAGGCCAAGGTCGGCGCAGAGCACCCTGGCCGAGAAGCCCTCCTCCCGGGGGCAGGGGCCAGGCAGGCTCGAGGGCTGGCACCACACGGGGTCCAGAGCTGCAGCTCCCAGGGCCTGGAGGGGTCCGAGGGAGCCCGAAGCACCAAAGCAACTCTTGCCCACATCAGTATCCCTGGTCCAGGGGGCAGGGGGCAGTCAGCCTCCCCACTTTCAGGCCCAGAAAAGCCCACCAGCAATGGCTCAAGGCTGGGCCAGCTAAAAGGGAGGTCCTGGTCACCAGGTGGACCCGGGCCACATTGTATCCTGGACAGGCTGTCAGGCAGGAGTAGGGGACAAGTTAGGACAGTTGGCCCAGAGCCAAGCAGCACACCAGAGATGAGAGGGACCTCCCCAAAGAGCAGCAGCTGAAGGGGTGAGTTGCAGGCAGGCTGAGGACCAGGCAGATCTCAGCCCCCAGCTGATGAGCCACAGCCCCCAGGGTGGCTCCAGAGACAGACAAGGCCAGGCAGGAGAGAGAGCACAGGGAGTGGGGGCTCCCAGTGCCCCCGAGTGACCAGGGGCAGGATGATCCAGGCTAATTGCTTCCGGCTCCTGCCCTGCAAAGGCCGTGGGTGCTGGAGACCGATGGACCAGAACCTGCGGCGCCTTCCTGCTCCCACACCCGGCCCTTTGAAGTGTGTGCCAGACTTAGCCCAGGCACCCAAAGCTCCTATCAGGAGGACCTGGGTACAGTGCCAGGGACAAGAACAATGACAGGGATGGACGGACCCCCAAGGAGGGCTCCTCACAACCCCCCATCCTGTCAAGGGGCAGTGTGGAGACCAGGCCCTGGAGCCTGGCCCCTGGCTGGTGACCTTGGATAAGTCACCCAACCTCTTTGTGCCCCAGCTTCTTAATCTTCAAAACAGCAGCACAACAGGTTTGCTACATGTGTCTGGGGACCTGCCATGGAGCACCTCACTGGCCGGCTGGCTGGGAGTGTGCTGGCCTTGACCGTGACATATTTCCAGGGCTCCCAGAGGTTTAAATGTTGTGCCCAAGATCACGCCATGGTGGGAGGCAAAGCCCAAACTTCTCAGCCCTGTTGCTGCTCTGCCTCCAGCTCCTGCAACAGGGGCCCAGCGGCCAGGGCCAATCTTCACAGGACACCTCAGTTTCCCCATAGCACTGTGAACCTGGAGCTGCCTCCTCAGCCAGAGTCCCCCTCACACCTACCTCCCTGCCTCAGTCTCCCCGGGAGTACTGGGCTCAAGGCAGGGCCCACTCTGTCTCCCTGAGGGCATCTCCAAAGAGGTGAGGAGCCGTGAGCCTGGAGAATCTGTTTATTGGGTAGAAGGAGGGGCCCAAAGAGACATCCCAGGGGGCAGAGGGACAGGGCAAGGTGGGAGGAGCAGGGCAGCCAGAGGTGGTCTCCCGAGGGCTGTGGGTCTCGACTCCTGGGGTGGCAAGGCCTGCTGCTCCGGGGTCACCCTGCACGGCAAAGGCACAGCTACTCCATCCACCCACTCACTGGAAAATGCCCTCGCTGCCCTCCCCAAGTCGGGCACTCCCCACACAAGGCCATCACCCACAAGGCCAGAGAGAGCTAATTCTGCCACCAAAGCTTCTGCGTACGTGGAAACAGTCACCCACCCACCACTGCTCCCCGGGGGGCCCCAGGCTAGAGGCAGCCACGGTCCCATTGCTGCCCCTGCCTTCCCTCGGGGTCCTGGGGACCCGGCCACACTTCCGAGTCCCTCACTTAGTGGCAGCGAGCCGCAGCCTCTGCCCCACCCTTGGCGAGGGGACCAGAGTGGCAAAAAGCCCGGGAACAATGCTAAACCATGAGAAAAGGGCGGTCCCGATGGGGCACTTGACCCCACAAGCTACTTCTTCAAGATAATTGGGGGCACAGGCAGGAGGATGGGGCTCACACTTTCTGCTTGTAGAACCTTCTGGAGGGCGATTTGGCATTGATTCCCAGCAACCCCCACCACCTCACATTTCCAAAACCACCACGTGTGTGACAGGAGACTCCAGTGCTTGACCCAAACGTCCCCAGTGCACGAGGGACAAACAGCCAGCGAGAGAGGGAGGCCGTGAGCCCACCGGAGCTCGCCCCGAAAGAAGAAAGGTGCAGGAAATACCGGCAGCAGGAGAATCAAAAAGGGGGGAAGGAACGCCCCCCGCCATGCAGACCCCAGGAACACTCCCCCCACCACGCCAGGAAAGGCCACAGGGTCCCCACCTGACCCCGGGTGACTGTCATTCCTATCTATTAGTTTTGGTTTTATGTAGGTGTCCAAATTGTTGGCGATGAGCTGGGGTCAGGGACCCAGCGATTTTCTGGTGTCTGGTTTGGTCTCCCGCAGAGGTGGGGGGCATGGGAAGGACTGTCCCTCAGAGCCCCCGGAGAAAACCAACCCTGCCGACACCCGGATTCCGGACTTCGGACTTCTGGCTTCCAGAACCGAGAGAGAACAACTCTCTGTTGTTTTAAGCCACCCAGTTTGTGGTACTTTTTATGGCAGCCCTAGAAAATCAGGGGAGGCTTCTCGGGAGAGGTGACATCTAAACTGAGGCCTGAGGCAAGGGAGTCGCCAGGCAGGAGGGGGGTCATCCACACGTGCAGGTGGGGGCGGGGAGAGGAAGGGGCACCACGGGCGGCGGGGGCAGCCCACGCGGGGCCTGCAGAAGCCAAGGGAGGAGTCAGCCCACTCCCACCTGGGCAGGGCCTGGCCGGGACTCCAGAGGCGTCAGGGTGCCTCCTTGCCCTCGGAGGAGCACGCGTCTGTGGGAAGGAAGACGGTCAGACCAGGACACGGGACAGCCCCACCATCCCCTATGGAGTGGGAAGACCACCCTCCCTGCATCACCCAAAACCTCTCCCTTAGTCTGTGTTGGGGAGAAGGCGGGGACTGTGGGGCAGGGGTGTCTGGAGAGGCTGCCAGCCCACCCCTAGAGGAGAAGACCACCCGCTGTGGACACATTCCCCGGGCTCAGGGAAGGGCGGGCTAGGTGCGGATGGGCAGGGTGGGGCTAGGCCAGGGGCACCTGATTTGGGCAGCATGACCACCATGTCGTCAGGGAGCCCCACAGTCGGGTAGAAGTCCTGGAAGGCCCTCACGGCCTGGGGGCTCGCATCCTGAGTCCGGCCTGGGGCAGAGCAGGGGTCCCTGTGAACCAGCGGCTCCCAGGGCTGGGGTAGAACAAGCGGGGAGGGGAGGCCTCACTGCCCTTCTCTAAGGGCTGACAGCAAGGTCGCCACCGTAGGTCGGGCAGGTTGGGCACTGCTCAAAAGGGCCTGCCTGGCTGAAGGGTCAGTGGGACAAAGCAGTCCAGAGGGGCCCCCTTTCCTAATTCGCACAGGGCGTCCTGGAGGCTGGCTGGCTTGACTGTTCGCGGACATGCTCTCCTGGCCCCACTCCCCAGGAGCATCTTCCCCTGCAGCTCCCAAGGCCATCCTCCAGCCCTCCCATTCTCTCCACCTTGGGGAGCCCCCAGAAGTTAAAGGAGAAAACCAGCCCAGACCAAGGTCTCAGGCGGCAAGGCAGAGCAGGCAAGGGCGGGTCCCCACCCTCAGGAGGCCAGTGAGGGGACTGTTCTTTGGCCTGTGTACCTGGCCCTTAGGGACCCCTCCAGCCACCCCCTCCCTATCCAAAGTGCTCTGGGGTCTTGCCAACCTCACCCCCACCCCTACCTGGTCTTACCAGGTCCAGACTTGGGAGTGTGTGACAACATCAGGGCAGGGGAGGGGGCAAGTCCAGAAGGGGCGGGACCAGGGGGAGATAGTGGGGTGGGTGGGGCCTAAGCCTTGGGTCTAAAAGGGAGCCAAGTGGGCAGGGTC